AGGGAGGGAAATTGGAGCCTGCTGGAGTATACTTATTTTCTATGATCTTAGTTATATTCTATAACTTTTTATGAATACTGGTTCATTTTTGTTTGCATCTTGATTGAATTGTTTTATCCCACACCCACTTTGAAGTGGTCCTCTTTGGAAGAAAAATGTACACAGAAGTAGCATTGCTTTTACCAACTGTAATTTCAATTAGGGTACCCACAATTGCATGAATGTAATCTGATCAAATGATAAAATCTAGGTAATTCATATAAACTGCACTTCTAATTTCCTACCTGAAAAGAGTAACTCTTGATTTTGGAACTGTAATAATTGTTGAAGCAAGAAAACTACGATGTTGAAGCACTGATATTTGGAGAAGGCGCGTGAGAAAGTTCCTAAAAATATTGTGGAATGCTCTACAGAATAAAGGTATTTAAATTGCCTAAATTCCAACAATCAAGGATATAAATTATAGGATCAAGACCGATATGAGAACACAATATGAGGTCTCATAAGATTTCCCTATTACTATTACACCAATGGTCAACCTTGAGCCCCTAACTATTTACCTTGGACTTAGATGTGCTTACTAAGCATATCCAAGAATCAGTACCACAATACATGTTTATTTTGCAAATGATACTTGGAGACTCGAGAGAAGAATTAAATGAGACATTAGAAATGTTAAGACAAGCTTTAGAAGCACATGACTTTTGTATACATCGATGTAAAACGGAGTATATGGGAAGTGTGAGTTTAACATGAGGCGGACAATCATACAACACGAAGGAAAATTGAGGGCGATGTAAATCATAGGATTCAAGCGAGGTGGATAAAATGGCATAGCATTTTAGGTGTTATATGTGATAAAAAGGTGCTACTCATGCTTATGGAAATTTTTTACCGCACAACTATAAGACCCAAAATGTTATATTAGACCTTAGTGTCGGACGGTAAAATGTCAAAATATAATAAAGTCAATGTAGCAAGTATGAGAATGTTGTGTTAGAAGAGTAGACACATTAAACAAGATAGGATTAGGTATGAATACATTAGGGAGAAAGTTGGTGCAGCTCCTATTGTAGAAAATATGGTAGAATCGCGCCTTGGGTGATTAGAACATATGTTTAGGAGATCGTTAGAAGCCCCAATAAGGAGAGTAGATCAAATAGAGGTTAATCCAATTTCTAGAGGTAGAGGGAGGCCAAGAAGAGCCATAGGCAAAACGATTAGGAAAGATTTATAGGTCGATATTTTGTCAATAGACATGATTTATGATAAAGTATTATGGTGCCCAGTGATTTAAATTGCGGTTGCGGCGTTGCGATGACCGCCGCAACCGCACCACACCGCAATTGCGGTGTGACTCCGAATCACAATGATACGGCCGCATTAGGCCGCAATGTAACCGCATCGGATCGCATTTGGGTCGCATTAGGCCACAACGCAACCGCATCAGACCGCATTGATTTCAAAAATATTTTTGTACTCATAAAATAATTCACACCTCAACAGCCGCAATCCGTTTCGCAACGGCTACAATAACCGCAATCGCGACTGCAACCGCAATTTAAAACATAGATGGTGCCCTTTGATCCGTCTATTTGACCCCACCTAATAGGATTAAGGCTTGATTGTTATTGGTTGTTGTAATCTTTTAATTCTATTGCAGTTTGGCTTATTCTTCAATATTTTCAACCTCTCCTACTTCTACAAAGGTCTGACCTTCCTAAAAAAAAAAAATGTTGTGTGCTTTTACTCACTGTTCTTTGTTCTGTTAATTTTGCAGCTAGCTCTTCAAACAAACTGCCCAAAGATAGTGATGTGTACTCGACCAAAGAAAATGAAGCTTATCCAAAATAACAGATTTAAGTAAAGTAGCAACTTTTCTGTGTGTTTTTCTGTACTCTGTTTATCACCTTTCAGTACTTTTAAGGTGATTTGATTTCAGTTTACTGGATTTGGAAAAGGGGTTTTCCCCAGTGTTCCCAAATGATGCAAAAAACAAAAACAATGAGACAGTCTTGAAACACTGACCGGGAACTTCCTGATTTGGGTCATAGTGAAATTTCTTTCCTTCTGATTACCATTCAATGAAGTAATGCTGCCTTTCTTAAATGTTTACCTTAGAAGGAAACACTTAAGAAAGTAATGCTGATCCTAGTTGTTTATCTATATAGAAAGTAATGGAGCTATATAACTATATCGTGTAATCATTATACTAGCTTTGAAAATTATGAACTTCAGTGTTTAATGAGTCAGGCTCCACTCCAGTAATGGAGAGGCCATTTACCTAAAAATATATAGAAAATTTAAAAGTCATGGACAATTTTATCCCTTCAATTTATATTATTATTACATTTTTACCCCTACACATACATTAGAGAACCTAACTAACATCTTCATTACTGGAGAGAAGTCAGACTCGTGTTTAATGGTTTACATTATTCTTAGTTGAACATTCTCATGAACTCCTTGTAAGGTAATGAGTAAATGAGGCTTGTTAGCTTCTAATCTAGTCAATGGCATGGGAAATAATTTCATAATAAATCTATATATATATATATATATATATAAATAAATAAATAAATGGTTAAAATTAAAAGTTAGTTACTCATGTCCATCATTGTCTCCTTCTCTTTTGATCATTGTGCAATCAGGTTATCTTTGTCCATATCTCTGATTCTAATTTAAGGGTGTGTGATCTTTGACAGGCTTTATACAGTTATCCCTAAGGAGGTAAAGAATTGTATCATTGCCAAAGTTGAGCTGAATGGTTCCCTCTTTTCTAATGGTTTGACGTTGGAAGTAAAGAGTACGTGAATTGCCTACTTTCTCATTGATATGAAACACGTATATATAGTTACATGAAGTGAATGAAACTATGTAACAGATTGCAAAGCTGTTCCTAAATTATAGGAGCTGGAGATAGATTGCAAAGTTGTTCCTAAATTATAGGAGCTGGAGATAAGGCTAAGCAACATATTATATACTGTTGCAACAGATAGAGAATATTGTGGGTTGATCCTTATCCTTTAGGAAGCATGCTTTGGATGGTATATACTTTGCTTCGTTTGCTTATTGTTGGTTTTCTCTTAATTCTTCATAACTCACTCCCTTGTAACTTGTTATAGTTTACCTGTAATCTCTCTTCTTACTCGAGGTGCTCGCACTATTCTACACATGTTAAGGATATTATTCACTTCCTTCGTGACTACCCTTACTCTAAGGAAGTTTGGTTTAGGTTGGGCCTTCTTCCCACTAGGAGTTTCTTAATTATGAACCTTAGGGAGTAGATCATTTCCTTTACGTGGGTTAAGGAAAATCAACAACTCTTTTATAGTCTTTGGAGGATTTGAAGGTGGAGGAATAATATGATTATGGATCCCGCTCTTGTTCAATTCATTACGTTATGCGCAATATTGTAAATGGTATTGGTGGTGGTGATTTTTCCTTGAACCAAGAGGAATTTGTTTCCCATGTCATTCCTCTGGATTTTATGAAAAATAATGTTGGTGGAAGTTGCATGCATGTGACTTCTAAGATTGATTGTAGTGGCTCATTCATAATCATGGTGGCAATTGGTTGTATGAGTTTAGAAATGTCGAACGAGCTAGTGATGTATTTCTAGCTGAGATTTTGGTGTTATGAGGGGTTTAAAATTGGCTAGGTAACATGGGTTTCTTAAGGTTATTTGTGAATCTGATAATTTATATGTTGTTGATTGTTTAACATATGGGGATTGATTGCTCTTCATACCCATGCAACACTAATTGAGGAAGCTCACCAGTGTTGTGATAATCGGACGGCCCGACTGGTTCGATTGCTGACCGGACTTGAAAACGACTATGTTTTGTAGTCTTAATCAAATGAGTAGTTGGACCGCTTTGAACCGAAGAAATTTTGGTTCGACCATGCTAAACCCGGTTAAACCAGAATAACCTGGAAAAAAACTGGACGGTTCACTTAAAATTTAAAAAAATAGAACATTATTATAATGTTTTGTTTTATTTCAGTCCAAAAAAGATAGAGAGATGTTACTTCAATATAGTTATATAAAATTATTAATTATATAAAATTTTGCATTTATATATAATTATATATTTATAGATAAAAATTATTAATTATATTTAAAATCATCCGGTCCGACTGGACGACTTAACTGTTTAAACTGATTAGACCTAATACGGAAGTTTTTTCGGCTTGGGTTTCACAACATTGAAGCTCACAACCGCTCCTTCTCCCTTGGGAGGTGTTTATTTGTCACGTTAGTCATTCTCTAAATTCCATTGTGGATGCACTTGCTAAGTTAGGAGTTAAGGAAGACTATCTAGAATTATCCTCCTCTGTGTATTACCCTTTTGTTAAGGGCTAGCTAGTTTTCTTCTTGTTCCTATGTTTCCCATGTACCCAAAAAAATCCCTAGATTAATATATACGTAAAAAAAATAGTATTGGGACAGATTGAAACTTATTCATCCAACTATAACCTATGTGATTAGTTCTGAAACCTAATTTGATTCCAAAGCAAAAAAAATCATCAAATATTTCCTATGGATTTCGTGGGACAAAATCGTCATTGCAATAAAAATGTTATTAATAATTGTCCCTATTGATTTATTTTGCGGGACAAATGATCCCTCAAATTTTCCACTATCCCAATTTAGTCTAATTTTTAAGAGATAAAATTGTCTATGAAAGAAACCTTTATGGATTATGAGTTAACATTTTTTTCGTGGATTAAATTATTTCATGGAGAAATCTTCAAGAACTATTTGGTGACTTTAGTTTGTTCATGGATCAAATCTAAGTTGGATGAAAATTTTGAAGGACTAAAGCAAGTTCATGTCAATAATAAATAACAAATAACTAGACATTCAAAAAATGCTTTAAGTTCAAAGAATAAAACATGGGCCTGTCTAACCAAAATAAACCCAACAAATGGACGAGCTTGGGAAGCTAGTATATGCTCAAATAGACTTAGAGTTGTTTTTATAGCCCAAACTCATATTTGTCACTTAAACTATTAAAAAAAGTCTTTCTTGAATTCGATTATGTTTTGATAAAATACCGACATCAATAAAGAAAACCTTGATTTTGTGTGTAAATATTTGTACAGATTGTGGAATGGAGAATACCCTGAAACCTGGTGATGTTATACAGTGCCGTGAGTGTGGTTACCGAATCCTTTACAAGAAGCGCACTCGTCGCAGTAAGCTTCACAGTTTAACTTAATTCAATGACCTAATTGTTTTTTATACTTTTTCTGTTTTTTCATTCGCATTCAATAACTCTACTATTGTTCTATGTTAATACTTCAACATCGTGTTATTTGTAATATATGTCTGTTACTAACACTGCATTAAGTGTATGAATATTGTGTGTGCCTAGTTATTAAATATTTGAATTAGAAGATTTTAAATAGTAGTTTTGGTAGCAGTTTTGGAAACTTATAAAACCCTGCACATCGGACTATTGAGGGCATTTGCGTTTGCGATATGGTTTCGGCAACTCCCTAACTTTGACATATCAGCTGTAGGCATCATGTACCCATATTTTAAACCTGGGTGAAGTGGGTGAAATAATTTAGTTGCCATAGTGTATAAGTAATGCTTGGATGCTGATTTTTTTATGAGAAAGTAAAACCCTTTGTTAAGTTGTTAATATAGATTTGTGTGGCTAGTTTTCACTCTCGTAGGGTTCCTCCTTTTTATTATGGTTGAACTTTAGTAATATCTTTAGAAAAGAGCATGAATTGAAAGCAAATCCCTGATTGTATTGTAGTTACTACTTACTAGTATCGGTATAGTATAAGACTATAGGTTTTATATCTTTATAGTTGGATTACTTGTAAAAGCTTGAGAGAATTGATTTGAGTTACTATTTGAACCGAAAGAGTCTTTGTCTGTGAAAAATTTCTAAAGATTCTTAAAAGTGAAAAATCATGAATATGTAGAAGATGGGAGAAGAGTACTATGCTCAGGCTCCTTTATGGTAAACCATAATTCACCTCTAACATAGCATATGTGTATAAGCCTCTTTAGAACAATAGTAGTTCTCTCAATGTGGAATAAGTAATGTGATCATTTTTTTCTTTTCATCGCCTCTGTTAATTTTAGTATTCACTATTCAAGTGTCCGTATAAAAATCACCAGCTGACAACTCCTTAGTTATTGACTGCTTGAAATTGTTGTTTTCTACAAGTCTCACCTAGGAGTCAACGCAAGCATGTTGACAATTTTTTCCTTTATTTATTTTAAATCATTTTCATACATTGGTTGTTTATCTGATAAGTCTGTGATTCTTGTGGAAACGCTAAGGGCTTACTAGGTTTTGATTTCAAAGTTGTATGTAGGGGTGTTCAAATGATCCAGTTCAAGTAAACAAATACATATTTAAACTGAGCCGAACTATTTAAAATCCAGATTTTATAAAAAAAAATCATATAGTGTAACTATTTTATAAAATTTGAAATTGGCCAGGTTCTTGGACCAAATATATGGATCATATAATTAAAATCCAGTTGGCTCAACTCAAGTCTCAAAAGGCTTAATTCGCCCTTCCAAACACTCAGCCACAGGAATGACACCTTTCCAAGCCCTTTATAGCAGAAACTCCACCTATTATCCCAGACTACGTTCTTGGACGAGTCATGAACCTCAAATGCATCAAATTTCTCCATCGCACCGATGGTGTGGCTTACGAACTAGACCTAAAAATAGCTTCATAGGTCCACCTCGTCTTTCATGTCTCTTGGTTTGGACCATTTTATGTTGAACAATCGGACACAGACATGACTGCGATGCCTACAACACCATCATCGGTGATAGCACCACCAGTTTTGGGGTATGAAACCATAAATGAAGGCTCTGGAATTTCAGAGAAAAAAGATATGATGGAGGAAAAGAACCACAGGGGATAGAGACCTTAGAGAGAGACAAGGTAATGACTTCACACAGGGAGTTCATTTCTATTATGTTCAACTCAAATCCCATGTTGAATTCAAATGAGACCTTGGGGACTCCAAATACATTTAACCAGACCCTAAATCCAGTTAAAAAGAATGGACTGATGAAGAAATCTACTCCATTAACTCCTCACCATCCAAAGAAGCATATCCCATCTCCACTGTTGGATCTGTACAACTTGGATTCTGTTACTAGTAAATAAATCCAATTTCAAAACTGGTTTTTTGTGAAAGCTGGATTTTAAACTTGGATTCCTAAACCAGTAAAAAATCCAGTTTCCAAATTGGGTTTTGTGAAAGTTGGATTTTAAAACTTGTTTAAAATCCAGTTGCCAAACCAATTCCATGAAAAAATCTGGTTTTGGGCATGAATTGGTTCATAACCTGTTTTATAACAAATTGGTTTTGAACCGATGATCTGTTTCATTCAGAAAACTAGTTTAGTTTGGTTTGGAAAAACAAACTACATAATATGGTGTAGTTTGGTGTGGATTTAACAAGTAACCAATCCATGAACACCCTTAATTGTATGCTTTCCATTCTCATGTCACTAGTTTTGCGTTCTAATTTTTTTTTTTAACTATTCTATAAACTGCTTCAGATACACACAAGATATAATATATAAAGGGCAATCTATTGTACAACACTCCTACATAGTGGTTTCTGAGGAGGGTAAACATTTGCAATCTTATCCCTGTAAGTAGTGAGATTGGTTCCAGGAATTGAGCCCATGACCTTCAGATTAGAAGGCAGAGCAACCTTGTTGTGTCGACAATTGAAAAGAGATGATAGTTCACCAATTTATTTTGGTTCACTATAGATATTGATTGGTTCATTTGGTTCAAGGCATCTTAGTTTTCTTCGGTTTAAGCATTTAGTCATGTCTTGTATAGAGTCAGGTAAACATCAGTGGTATATGTTTGGTAAATGTTGATAATCTTTTGTATTTTGGACTAAATGACTGGACCAAATTTGGAGTACAAATGAATCACTAGATATGTTAGTGATTCATTTTTTAAAATTCTTTCTCAACTTAATTGTCCCACTTGCAAATTCAATTTCTTTTGCACATTGTTTATTATATGTTTATTGTTGTGTGATTAAATATGTCTCCAAAGAGAATAATGTCCGTAAGGGTCTGATGTGAGTTGGATTTTGGAGGGGAAGTAGGAATGACAATGGAAAACAAACCTGTGGATACCCGCCCAACCTAACCCGAATTTAACGGGGAAACCTGATGTGATTGGGTTTAGGTTTTACCTGAGTTCAACTTTCGGGTTCGGGTTTGGTACAGTTGATACCTACCACGAACCCGTTTAATATATGTAAAATTACACATAAATACATATATAAAACCTATAGAACCTATATATAAATACATGTTTCGGGTGGGTTCCCATCGAGTTTGGGTTACCCGAAACTCGATGGGTTTGAGAATGGTATCATTGTTTTCAATCCCACTTAATTCGGGTTCGGGTTTTGGATTTCGGGTTCGGGTTGGGTAAGTACAAACCCAACCTTGATCCGCTCTGTTGTCATTCCTAAGGGGAAGGAAGGGAAAGGGAAGGTTTGAGAGCCATGAATTACACTTATGAGATGATTATGAAGTCTCCCCCTTCCCTTCCTTCCCTTTTGCAAGATTTTGAAGCCTTCTCTTTCGCTTCATTCCCCTTCAATTCCAAACTCGCAAGTAAGCAAAAACCAATAAACTAGCGAAGGAAATATAAGATTTTATGGATGATTCTAGCATAATGATGTGTTCAATGCAATGTTGTGAGGACTAGACCAGTCAGTTTGACCGGCCCGATCGCTGACCGGACTTGAAAACGACTCTGCTTTGCAGTTTTAACTGGATGAGGGGTTGAACCACTTTGAACCGGGGAAATTCTGGTTCGGTTGTATTATACTCGGTTAAACCGGAATAACCCAGAAAGTGAACCGGACAATTCACTTAAAATAAATAAAAAAATAAAACACTATTTTGTTTTACTTTGATCCAAAAAGGACGGAGATATATTATTTCAATATAATTATATAAACTTTTGCATTTATATATAATTATATATTTATAGATAACGGTTAATTATTATGAAATCACTCGGTCCGATCGGATAGTTTAACCGTTTTAATTATATATTTGATGTTCTGCTCAGATTTCATAACATTGGTTCAATATTCATCTTTTTATGCCTCGGTCACTAAAAAATGATAAATTTCTTTTCAAACAGCATGTTAAACTGTGACTTTCAATCCTTTTCCTTAAAGTGTTCATTTATTTTCTGCTACCCTTCTGAGCAATTTATATACAATGCTTTATACTTTTTATTGTTTTTATGCAGTTGTCCAGTATGAGGCACGCTGAAGAATGCTGCTGCGGTGTAGCGAACAGTTTGCCATAGCACCAATATTAATATGTACTAAAACTGTTGCTGCAACAATTGGCATGTAACAAATATTAATATGTACTGACTGAAACTGTTGCTGCATCTTCCACCTTCTGTTTGGTTATTGGATAATTACAAAGTCCATGTAAAGTCAAGAACTATTTTTAGCTCTGGGATGATCTGGTTAATTCCAGGGTGTGTTTGCATTTGGGAGATATTGGATAAAAAATTAAAGAAACATGAAAACCGTGTGAATTGCATGACCTTTACTTGTTTGGATTTTAGTTTGCATTACTTTTACTTGTGTGGTTAAAGAAATGACTGGTCTAAGCTGTCAAAAGGTTGGTGCATTTGCTCTGCTAAAAAGAATGAACTGACACCGGCACCAAAAAATCCAACTGATGGTACTAGAAATTACATAATGCTTGTAAATGAAGGCGTGGCCTTTAAAAATAATGTGTTGGATCAGAAACAGACACCACTTCCCAGGGAGAAAGAAAACCTAGTTGCAGAGAAAGCTTATGACAATTGTTTATGAGGATTGAAATGAAACCTAGTTGCAGGAAAAACGGCACACATGCTCCAATTAATTATCATATTAAAATTAGAGAATTAAATACTCAAATTTTCAAGGGAGTAGGAATGGCAATGAAAACCATACTCATGGTTCGGATTTTGGATATTAGGTTAGGGTTGAGTAACCACAAACTCAATCTGTCTCGTTGTCATTCCTAGTAGTGGGTCTCTTTTGTGTCACTGAAACCACTGCCATGCAATCCCATGTGGAATGTATGTTCCTCACTCCAACTATGGTCCTGAAAATGCAAAATTTTAAAGAAATCATTGGACCAATCCATATGCAGATCATTGAGAAGAAGAAAGGGCAGATTCATCAGGTCTCATCAACATTGAAGGGCAACATGGAAGGGTAGAAAATCAAAAAAAGGATCTATACTTGAGACATAACAAGAGTATCAAGTAGACATAGAATGAATCATTTCTATTTAAAATAGACCGGAATGCCAAGTCTCTTGGGGCCTCATTTTTTTCATCTTCCTTTAAGGAATAAGTTAAGTAATTTTAGAATTCTCTCATGGAATATATGAAGAGCTGGAAGCAAAAGAGCAAGTAGACACATGAATGATATATTATCACTAGATTTCGTCCTTCACTTATGTTCGTAATATGTCGTTTGACAATACCAATATTTTTGGCAAATGATGGGTTATCAACCTATTCAAATAATTGAAGCTAGTGATCATTCAGGTGCCTTTGGGCTCTTTGTAAGGTAAATAGTTATATAAACCAATATTATGAAACCCGAACCGGACGTCAAGCCGGAAGAGCTTCCATACTAGGTTCAACTGGTTTAAACAGTTAAGCCGTCTGGTCGGACCGAGTGATTTTAAATATAATTAATAATTTTTATCTATTAATATATGATTATATATAAATGTATAATTTTATATAACTATATTAAATTAACATCTCTATATTTTTTTTTGGACGAAATAAAACAAAACATTAGTGTAATGTTTCATTTTTTTTAAATTTTAAGTATACAGTCCGGGTTTTTTCCCAGGTTATTCCGGTTTAACCGGATTTAGCACGGTCGAACCGGAATTTCTCTGGTTCAAAGCGGTTCAACTACTCATTCGGTTAAGACTACAAAACGGAGTCGTTTTCAAGTCCGGTCAGTGATCGAACCGGTCGGACCGTCCAGTCCGATCTGGTTATCACAATAGTGATATAAACTATACATTCTCCACCATTTTGTCTTGTAATTTTTCTATAACAATTAATGTCTCCCAGAGTTTGAGAAATTGGATATACATAGGGCTTTATGCAAGTCCAACACCGTCTAGACTTCTCTTGATCTAGAACAATCTTTGCAACCTGAGGACATCCATCTCCTCACCTTGGGTCCTAGGAGGCGACTCAACTAGATTTTTCTCCCTTCATAAATGTGGAGATACAGTACTGGAGATACAATTACTTATTGTCCCGCCCTAATTTTTGGCAACACGACTTTTTTGGAGTCGTCATCATGTTTTTGTGGTTAAAACATAAAAAACTCTATTTTAATTCCAAATTGAAGTAAAATTGTCATTTAAAATAAATATTTGGGTTCAGAAGTCGGTTATGGATCAAAGAATATATCAACATCATCTTCGTTCATACTCCGATGATACTCGCATGAATTATTTTATCTCATTGTCTATCTTTATTAACCAATCATTCACCAAAACCAAAACTATGTTGATTATTTGATTTGATAAAGTATAGAGTTAATTACACTAATACCCTTGAGTTTTAGTGAATTACACAAATCACCCCTCATTTTTTTGTCTTTACATGAACCACTCATTCCTCTTACACAAATCACCCCTAATTTTATACATATATTACACTGATCACCCCTGATGAGATATAAGTATAATATTTTAAACAAAAAATATGTAGTAATTGTAATTAAGTTAAACAAAATATTATATATTATGTAGACAATTCCAAATAGTACAAAACTGAGTGTTTTACTATTATTTTTGTTTCATTACACAATATATTAACAATTCTAATCAGATGTTTATATATTCTTTGTACTATTTTGTAATGAACCAAATAATGAAGATGCAATGACTCGTATATTATTTCGATTTGTCTACACAGTATACAATATTTTGGTTAACTTAATTATATACATCACATGTTTTTTTTAAACTATTACACATATATCTTATCATAGGTGATCAGTATAATATATGTACAAAATTAGGGGTGGTCCATGTAAGAGGGAGGGGTGGTTCGTGTAAGGAAAAAAAATGGATGAGTGATTTGTGTAATTTCACTAAAACTCAGGGAGTGTTAGTGTAATTAACTCTAAAGTATATGAAGACTTTCTAAATGGCTAAAGATTATTACACCCAATCTAATAATATTGGATCCTTTTCAAGAACACTTTAAATTTAATATTACACTATGCTCTTGTTTTACATAAAGTATGAAAATGCATAATTTCTCTTAATTTTTTTTATGAAAAATGTGTGAAAGATTTGTAAGTGAAAATTGTTGCAAAAGTATTGTGTTGCTTTCAGAAACTTAGGATGATATATAATTATATATAGAGTTTACAAGGGTTCCAAGGTCCGCTCTAGGAGGTATGAAATGTTTGGAATCATACTGATTCATTTTAGTATGTACTGGTTAAATTTCAAATTTGAAAATACACTTCCGACAAAGAGTAATCGGCTATTGGCTTATGATAATTGGTTATTAAACCTTATTGTTCACTCAATAATCAATTGTTGGGTCCTTCTTTCCACAAAGGTACCATTTTACTTGAAATTTTAGTAAAATGTTACTTGATTTTCTAAAAAACTTCTTTTTAAAAGAAATTTTGTCAATGTTTTTTATTCCATTAAAACTTTGAAAAATAATTAAGGTAATAACTTCAACTAAAAAGCAATTAATCTTATGCATTAATATTGAGCTTTCCACCAACAAGGTGTTGGTCTAGTGGTGTAAGACTTCGTTAGATTTCTACGAAGACCAAAAGGTCAATGATTCGATTCCTAAGTGTGACACTTGTTGGGAGGAATAATCACGTACCCCGAAAGGGGTTAGTTTTTTTTCTTCCTAAAAGGGTGAGAGAATACCTTGATATTACCAATAAATATTCAACTTTCCAACCTATAAGGTCTTTAACTTTTTTCTTCTTTATTGATGTTGGTGTCTTCATCAAAACTTAACTAAGGCCGACGTGAATCTTTTAGATAAATACATCATGCATTCCAAAAAATTATATTTAAGATTATGTACGCAATTTAAGAAATTAATAAATGATATAAAACATGTATATGATTTGACTAAAATAATTCCATAAATGGAATGAAGAAATATGGGTGAAAAAAATGAGTACTAAATAAAATTATAATTAGAAAATAAAATATTAATTTATATTAATTCTTAATAAACTCATTTTTTTTTGGAATAACATCTAATATAAATATAAGAGACAGGAGGTGTATGATTTTTAAAAAAACAGCCAGTAATCACACATGACAAGATCAATAAGTTGTGTACGGTATTGCTTAGGGTAGTTGGGGTAAGACTTATTCTCGATCCTAAAAGTTGATCATATTATTTTTTTTGAATTTGAATCCGATCTTAGATTCAATCACCCAAAGGACTTCAAATGTCGATTGGGTCAGCTTTTAAATCCGACCCTAAATCCGGTTAAATATAATGCAGGTTCATTTTACATAAAATATTCTCAATAGTACTTTATTATTATGAATATGCAATTTGACACATATATATTGTTAATTATTTAATATATATATATATATAATTAAAATATTAGAGAAACAATGATGATTTGGGTCAAAGAGATATCATTACTTTATATACAATTGAATATGCACATACAAACACAACGAATGAATGACTCTATGACTGGCTGAGTCATGTGTGTTTATTACCCGATATTAAATGTTATCCGGGTCTAATTTGTAAACTTGATCCTAGACCATAAATCTAATGAAACTCAACCATATTCAATCCGATTATAATCAGATAAATAAAATGAGCCATTGGGTTCTCTCCGTTTCACTGTATGAAAATAAAAACATTTTTCAATCTGCTTGAAATGTCTTTTTTTTCTCTCTCGTTACTACTTTGGTCATTAACCAACGTCAAAACCTTTTATTTTTGCTCTCTCTTACCAAATCGGGGTTAGGGTTTTATAATTTACCATCTCCTTCTTATTCTCCAATTCAGAGCAAATATCACTGATCGATTTCCCCTATTCCCAAATTGAGTTTTGTTATAATGGAAGAAGACTCAGTAAACGGCAACTCAAGCAGTTCCAAAACGACACAAGAACTTGCAATTGAAGGACAAAAGTACCTTGAAGAAACCACGGAATACGCGTTTCAGATTCTTTCTTCTATGAACGACGAACTCTGCAATCCCGTTTTATGGTTCACTTCTCCATCACCTTCTAATACTACATCCCCTAACCCTAATGCTCCTTCTTCAATTGGGGATGCAAATTCCGATAACTCCAACCACCACGCCAAGAGCGGTGGTGGTGGAGGTGCTGGTGGCGCTCTTGAGGAGTCTCTGTTTCGGTATAAAAATGCTGTTGCTTCACTTAAGACTACTCTTGCTGCAATTCCCAACTCTCATAAGGTACCATTTTGAATTCAAGTTTTCAAACTTGGGTTAGTCGCATTCTTTTTTGTTTAATGGAAATTACTATGAAGCTAGAGCCTTTATAATGGTTTTATATGTTCCACCAAAGCTGTGTCAGACTTACAATTTTA